AGGAGAAGCCAGACTGCTACCAAGACAGACAGCAGGCATCGAAATGCAGCAATTCATGCAGCTGCATTAAATGTCTTCACAGCCAAGGGAGATGGGAGCTGAGCTGGAAGGACAGAGCATGTGATGCTGGGAAGCCCCTTCGCACATCGCAGCCCTGCAAGCACTAAGCACTTATCACATAAGCTTAAGACTGAAAATCAGGCTTGTCAGATGCACCATCTTTTCTATCCTGCTCTCCAGAGTAGAGAGTTGGGCTCTGACAGAAAGCCACTTGAAGAGATGAGAAGCATTTGAAATATGGATTGACAGGTGGCTGTTATGTACGAGCTGGGTTGAAAGAATCAGAAATGAGGAGGGGATAAGTTGCCTGGGCAGGGGTGGGCTCCTGCCAGCATTACACCTAGGTGTACGCATTTGCACCTCAAAAGGTCTGCGCATGAGCACAATGTTAGAAAAGAGGGAAAAAATAAATTAAAAATTAAATTTTTGCAATGAAGATTGTTCTGCGCATGTGCAGATCGAAAATCAAGATGGTGCTGCCAATAATAGGACTGGTTCAGGGGCGTGACAGGCTGAGTTACTACCTACTCATCCAAACTGGTCTGAACTGGTGGGAACCCACTTCTCTGCCTGGGAAAGTCAAGGGAAATAATCAAACCCATAAAAAAGCAAAAGTTAGAATATTTTGGGCATGGGATGTGACACCTGGAAATATTTGGCATCCTTCCCTTAATCCTCCAGGGAAAGATTGAAGGCAAATGAGGTTGAGGCAGAAGAAGAACATCGTGGCTTCAAAATCTAAGAGATCAGTTTGGACAAAATTCAGCAGCACTTTTTCATGCGGCTGTTGACAAAAATAATATCGCCAACATGATCGCCAACGTCCGATGACGGATATGGCACAAAAAGAAGTGCTGCAAACACTGGCTGGGGAATTCTGGGAGTCGAAGTCCCCAAGGCTTAAAAGCTGCCAAGTTTGGAGACCCCTGGCATAGTCTGAAGGTCGCTAGGATGCCTTTTCAGTGCTCTAAGTGAAGGGTTGCAATGGGAGCAGAGAGATGGGGGCTTTGTCATCTTACAACATCAGACACTCAAAGACCAGGCATAGTCATGTTCTCATCCTTCCTACGTCCTATTTTCAGCAGCACCAGATTAGCCCAGAGCCCTGGCTTGAAGGACAGTTGGGACAGCCTGGCCTGATAATGCGATTAAGCACAACTATCACCACATCTCACGTGATCCAGCTGGGAAGGGGGGAGAGGGAGTTGTCAGGGCTGCAACTTCCCTCTGGAAGCCTTGGTGACTTTTGGTCTCTCTCTCTCTTTCTCTCTCTCTCTCCAGCAACGGCCAGACCTAGGACAGAAGCATGGCTGAGCTCTACCAGCTAGGTACCTGGGATAGGGGGTGGGAGTGGGGTGCCATATAGCACAGGAGGTTCTCACATGTCCCACCCTCATTGCAAGGAGGGTTGAAGCCCTCCTGGGATCCTGTCTGCCCTGCCTGCCCAATGTGGAAGGCAGCAACGCCAAAAAAGCTGGATAGTTGGGTGGAGGGTCAAGGCTGTAGAGTAGGGGAAGGACCTTTGGCCTTTTATGATTTGTGGACTTCAACTCCCAGGATTCCTCAGCCAACAAGGTTCCCCACTCCTGCTGGAGGGTCTCAAGAGCATCCAAATCGTGAATGGCCTCAAAGGGGTGTCCCTTCTGACTAGATGACCTATATAAGTCCCTTCCAACTCTGTTGATCTGTTAATAGATTGTGGGCAGGCTGGCAAAGAAATCGAGTGATGGAAGGAAACTCCGTTACCAGCTGGTGCTTCAATGCCAGCTCAACCCAGGAGGGGGGAAACCTAGGAAGAAGCATTTCTAACCATTTAAAGAGACTTTGACCTGGAGAACAAGCTCTCAAAGGGGCTGAAAAATCCACACTTACGACCATTGCAGCATCCCCGTGGTCGCAGGATCAAATTTTGGGTGCTCAAATTTTGGGGTCAAATAGAAGGAGGTCGGGCACCACCAATGGCAACTGACATGCATTTGTGACCGTTGTTGTGTCCCAGAGATTTATGCGATCCCCCTTTGTGACAAGTAAAGTCAATGGGGAAGCCAGACCCACTTAAAAACCAGGTTACTGAGTTATCTACTGCAGTGCTTCACTTAACGATGGAGGTCATAAAATGGGGCAAAACTCACTTAACAACTGTCTCGCACAGCAATAGAAATTTTGGGCTCAATTGTGGTCATAAATCGAGGAATAACTGTGTTTACTCCAGGCTGCCACAAAAGACCCCTGCCTGAAATGTGCACAGAGCTGGCCCAACTGAGGGAGGTCTCATACTTGCCTGGCCTGGCAGTGGGAAGGAGGAGGAGAGGACCACCTCAGGAGCAGGGCCAGACACACAACGGTGAGTGGGTGAAAAAAATATTGGCCACAATTGGTCCTTCGTTTTTAGATGCATCATCTTGCACACCCTGAAAAGACGAGCACTGGCATGGGGCCAAATGGAACAAGTCGGGTACCACCAGGGCCTCCTGCAATTTTTGAACTCTTTGGTTGCTAGTTAGCTTCCCTTGCAAGGCTCCTGGGGAGACTTAATTCCAGCAGAATTATTGAAGAGGATGGTGGATCATGGGAATTGATGGGTGATGTAATTGCTGGGGGATGTAATCTTCCCAGGTGCCATGTGGTGAGATGGGTAGAGGGTTAATCCCACCTTTGTTGGATCTTGAGTGATGGCATTTGCCTATGAATAGATCTAGCTATCTCTTTATTGTTTAAGTGCGGACATCTGCTGTGGACTCTTGAGGAGGGTGGGGGCTATTCAGAGTGAGTCTGTTTCCTGCCTAAAAACATGTTTCTCCGTTTCTCATCCAGATAAAGATAATATTCTGCCTTTTTAATATTTCCTAGAATATTTCATTTTTCTAGGAGAGGGGTGGGTGCTACTTCCTACAGGTATGTTCCAGCAGAGGCTTTCCTGGGGGGCTTTGATTCAGATTCCTGTCCTGAACCAGGGGTTAGACCTGAAGGCAAAGGCTTCTTCTGATCCCGGATTCTAGGCTTTAAATGTCCATCACAAAACCAAAGACAACAAGGAAACCGATTTTTTTCCCACTGAGCTTTTTTCTGTCCCCCGAAGGCCAGATGGTGCTCTCCAGTCTCCCCCTTCAGATGCTGCTGTACTTCAACGCCTTCTTCCTCCCCTTCTGGTGTCTGTCCGAGGCAATTATGCTGGAGCTAAAGGTAAAGGGCTCTTGGGGCAGCTGCTGAAGGTAACTCTCTTCCCCTGCTTGGGAAGGTTGGAATATATGACCTACAAGGTCCCTTTCAACTCTGATAATCCGTTAAAGGGTGGAAAGGAAGTTTTCCAGTCCATGGCATGACTGGAGCTTGTAAATAGGGCTTATAGTTGGAGGAATCCTGGAACTGGAGCAGGACAAGAGACAGCGTCTCCTGAAACGATTGTGCATTACTCCATTTAATTGCAACCTGTGGTCTTTAACATGGAGAATAAAAGAAAAGACCATGGAGGGCCTAATCCAGGAGTGTCAAACTCGTAGCCCATGGGACGGATGCATCGTGTGTTGGCCACACCAACCCCTGGTTTAGTGAAAGGGAAAAAGTGATACGTCACATGACAACGATGTGACAACGCAAGTTTGGCACCTCTGCCCTAGTCCAGCCCCCTGCTCAAGCAGGAGATCGTACACCATTTCTGACTGATGGCAGTCCAGTCTCTTCTTGAAAGCTTCCAGTGATGAAGCTCCCACAACTTCCAAAGGCAACTTCTGTTCCATGAGTTGATTGTTCTCACTGTCAGGAATTTCCTCCTTAATTCTACGTTGGGTTTCTCCTTGATGAGTTTCCATCCGTTGCTTCTTGTCCTGCCTTCAGGTGCTTTGGGGGATAGGTTGACACCCCTCTTCTTTGGGGCAGCCCCTCAAATATTGGAACACTGCTATAGTGTCATCCCTACTCTTTCTCTTTGTTAGACTAGGGTTACCTAGTTCCCTCCATTGATCTTCATATGGCTAGGGGTAGGTTCCAGCAGGCAGTACTGCCAGTTCATTCATGTGCATGCCACATGCATACGTGTGCTGTGTGCACCTACTTGATGTGCACTGCGCATGTACAGAACTGAAAAACAAGAGGACCACTTCCAGCGACCCAGGCTGCCAAACCACTACCGGTTTGGCTGAACCGGTCCGAATCGGTAGGAACCCACCACTGCATATGGTTTAGCCTCCAGCCCTTAATCATCATTAAACTGAATCATGAACCACGAGCCCCACCAGGGCACCATAAAGAAAGCTTTGGGTCCCTCAAAAGTCTTGTGTTCTCACTACACTTTTATCTGGGTCAGGAGAAGAGTCTTTGTCTCATATGAGCAGGCAAAGTCCGCAGGAGGCTTACCTTCAATTCTCCCTATATCCTGCAAGAGAGGGTTAATGGAGGGCTCAGATTAGATTAACAGAGTTGGAAGGGACCTTGTAGGTCATCTAGTCCAACCCCCCACTCAAGCAGGAGACCCTACACCGTTTCTGACTGATGGCAGTCCAGTTTCTTCTTGAAAACCTCCAGTGATAAAGTTCCCACAACTTCCAAAGGCAACTTCTGTTCCATGGGTCGATTGTTTTCCCTGTCAGAAAATTTCTCATTTCTAGGTTGAATCTCTCTTTGTTCGCTTTCCATCCATTATTCCTTGTCTGGCCTTCAGGTGCTTTGGAAAATAGCTTGACCTCCCTCCTCTTATTAGATTCAGAGGAAACCAGATCTGCATGCAGCTAGTTTATTTTCTTCAGAATGTAAAGATAAAATATTTTTGGCCAGTGCAAAAAGGATGGCTGCTTGCAATATAATAAGGGAAGTTTCATTATTATGGTACCAGAAAGGAGGGAAGCACCAGCTGGCTGAATCCTGTCTGTTATGAGAATGCAGCCAGTGAATCTATCCTGGCTTGCTGTTGAATTGTGGCCAGACAACCCTGGAGCTCTAAAGAGGCAGCTTTCCAGCCTCCCTGCGAATGCAGGCATTGGAGCTGGGCTGCACCAAGTGTGTGGGGCTGCTTCCCTTTTCTGGCAGGGAGGACCTCCTTCCCAGTAACATCTCAAGCTGGGCTTTCCATGCTTGCCTTGGGCTGGAGAAGGCTCTGGAGAAGGGCAGGAGCAGCGTAGCAGGAGGGGCCCATTGGAAAATACCCCCATCTCTTTTTATGCCCCCACAGTTTAGCTTGCTACCCCTTTACTACCAATGCTTGCTGGTTGCTGCGTACCTGACAATTGTCGGAGTGGAAGCCGCTCGTCTCTTCCTTGGATACGTTGGGAATTTGCAAGAAAAGGTAAGGAATGACAGGGGATACTATGCTTAGCTTTCTTTCTATAAATAGAGCTCTGCTCTATCTATTCAGTTGTGGATATATTTAGACATTATTGCAAAATATCTTCCACTGAAATCAAAGAGCCTGGGGTCCCTGCAGCTGCAGCCCTGAAAGAGAAGTTGTTGCAGGCCTCTCATAGGGGGCGGGGTTTCAATTGTCCGGGCAAGGCTGCCCTCTGACCTTTTCAGACCCCCCCCTCCCGTGGATACACCTGAGCAGGTGTCAAATGCCTGGTGAGTTTTCAAAACATTAAATTAATCTTAAACGGAAGCAGAGAAGAACATTGAGGAGCAGATTTGGTTTCAAGGGTGCCAGAGGCTTCTGAGATATAGTTGAAATTCAGGATGAATTTCAGGGGCCAGTTGTCAGGGTTCCAAATAATACACCCATGGAGAACAAAACTCCCAAGGCAGGTAGATTCCTCAAAGAATAGTTTTATTTGGATATATCATATTGGCACAGTTCTGGGGAAAACCGACTCTGAAGGTTCTCACGGTTTTCACCTAATTAAAAGTCCCCCCCTAAAATTCACATGGTCCAATCAAGGTGCCGCCTGGTTGCCTGATGACATCACTCCTCCTCTCTCTGACCAGGTGTGAGAATGTCCTTGGTTTCCAAGAGAAGATATTTGGTTTTGGCTACAAAACGCTGGCTATCTCTATTCCCCCTTCCCTATCTCTCAGCAATAGTGTGGCAGCACTGAAGCTCCAAGATGGATCCGGTCAGGTGAACTTCAGGGTTGTCACCAGGTTATTCTCTTGAAAGGTGACACCCCCGCTCCCCATTGGCTCCCACAGGTTCCAAAGTTGGCTGGATTCCTCCTCCTGTCCTTCATCATTGAGATGCCCGTCTTGCTGTTCATCTTGACGGACCATCAGGTGATCTGTATGCCTCTGGAAATGGCGGTGCATGGTGTCCTCCTCTGCTTCCTCATCTCGGAGATCGTGGCCGCTTCCTTTGCCCTCAAAGACATGGCCAAGCACCTGGCCAGGCAGTTCTACCTGGTGCAGTTTGAAGGGCGTCCGGGCAGGGTTAGGCACCAGGAGTTCTGTGGGGGGAACCAGCAGCTCTGAACATGCCCCAGTTTCAGTGTAGGGGCACTAAGCACCCACTCCCTGCAAGAAAGAGAAGTCCCTGAAGAAATTAAAAGTGACTTTGGACCACTTGGGCTGGGGAGGACTCTGGGAACGTTGGTTCCTCTCAGTTTCTTTTCTGGTAAAGTCTGTTCATTTTGGTTTTGCTAGTTTTTAACTTCCTGCAACTCTCTAACAAAATGAAATTCAATCCAGAGAAAAGTAAAGTCCTGGGGAAAAAAAATCAAAAGTACAAATATAGATTGGGTGAAACCAAGCTTAATAGCAGAAACTGTGAGAGGGATATTGGAGTCTTAGTGGACAACAGACTAAATAGGAGACAGGAGTGTGTGGTGGCAAGCAAAAAAGCTAATGCAATCCTAAATTGCATTAACAGAGGGATACAAGATCAAGTGAGGTACTATAAAGCCCTAGTAAGACCACATCTAGAGTACTGCATCCAGTTTTGGTTGCCACAATGTAAAAAAGATGTTGAGACTAGAAAGAGTGCAGAGTAGAGCAACCAAGATGATGAGGGGACTGGAGACTAAAACATACGATGAATGGTTGCAGGAACTGGACATGGCCAGTCTAGTAGCAATAGCAGTTAGACTTATATACCGCTTCATAGGGCTTTCAGCCCTTTCTAAACGGTTTACAGAGTCAGCATATCGCCCCCACAATCTGGGTCCTCATTTTACCCACCTCGGAAGGATGGAAGGCTGAGTCAACCTTGAGCNTGTGTGTGGACTTTCGAGGGATAAATGGGGTGTGCGTACACAACCTATACACCCTCCCCCTCATGAAGGACATGCTGTCTCATCTGGCCAAGGGAAAAGTCTTCACCAAACTACACCTCAGAGAAGCATACTACCGAGTACGTATCAGAGAGGGAGATGAGTGGAAAACAGCGTTAAACTGACCCCTAGGGAGCTTTCAATTCAAAGTGATGCCTTTCGGGCTGCAGGGGGCCCCAGTGGTATTCATGCAGTTAATAAATGAGGTGCTGCACGAGCACAAGAAGGTCCTTGTCTACCTAGAGAACATCCTCATCTACACAGAGACCATGGACGACCACGTACCACTGGTCCGCCAAGTACTGGAAAAACTTCTGGCAGTCAACCTATACGTCAAGGTATCAAAATGCGAATTCCACCATGCACGGTTAGACTACCTGGGTTACTGAGTGTCAAATGAGGGAATAGAGATGGACCCAGCAAAAGTGCAAGCCGTCCTAAGCTGGCATCCCTCTCGCACCTGCAGACAGCTACAAAGCTTCCTAGGGTTCACAAACTTCTACAGGCAATTCATCCCCTCCTTTGCGAAGATTGCCAAACCCCTAACAGACCTCCTGAAGACAGGGAGCCCACGAATGAAACCTCGTCCTGGACAACCCCTATCATGGGACCTAACCTGCCAAGAGGCATTCGAGGCACTAAAAGAAATGTTTGCAAAGGAGCCAGTGCTGAAGCATCCTGACCCCGAGCAACCTTTTGTGATCCAGGCAGACACCAGCGATGTGGCAGTGGGAGCAGTGCTACTCCAAAGAAACAACCAAGGAAACTTACAACCCTGTGCCTACACCTCCCGCAAGCTCACAGACACAGAAAGACAATGGGCCGCATGGGAAAAGGAGGCTTTCGCAGTGAGATGGGCACTGCTAACCTGGAGACACCTGTTGGAAGGGAGCCAGAAACTGTTCGAAGTCTGGACCGACCACAAATATCTGGAGGCACTTAGGACCCCACGGAAACTATCACCCAAACAAGTCCGATGGGCTCAATACTTCAACCATTTTGATTTTGTCTTTTTTTTAATATAAATTTTATTTTTATTTTTATTACATAGACAACATGTACACACAACAATAAAAAAGAAAACAAAAACAAAAAGGAAAAAAAACACAAAAAAGAAAAAAAAACATCATCACATAAAGCATGTCGTTTGGTTACAGGTGTTTTAACATTTATCATTCTTATACATTTATTATTTCATTTAATAGGTTATAATNTTTTTCATGAGAAAAGTTCCTAATTGGGTAATATTTTCACAAGGACCAATTAAAATGACATAAAAAGTATATACAGTATATCCCCACATTCTCCAGAACATAAAAAATCGAAAATATATTTTTAGGATTTTGAATTAAAGCCAAAAATTGTTCCAGTATTAGGTACTAATTGAAAATAAATATGTATCAATCAAACATTAATGTAAGAGTGGCCTAGAGCAGGGGTGTCAAACTCACATCATCATGGTAGCATCATGTGATGTATTGGAACTTTTTTCCCCTTTGCTAAACCGGGCATGGGTGTGGCCAGCACGTGATGCATCCAGCTGGTGAGCCGGGAGTTTGACAGTCCTGGCCTAGAGGTAAGAAGGTTGAGAGTTCAATCCTAGGCAGTGGCAGATGTTTCTCTATCAGGCTACAAAGAGAAAACATCTGCTGTGAACTCTGTGTAGCAGAGGTTGGTTCTTATTGGTTCGGTCTGGTTCAACCGAACCAGTAGTGGTATGGTGGGCTGGGTCACTGGAACCGGCAGTGACCCATGCCTGCCATGCCCCCAAACTGGTTCCCCGACGCTGCCGCGATCTTGTTTTTTTGTTCTGCGCATGTGCTCCATTTAGTTGCCCCAACTCCACCCTGAATAAAGGGATTAAAGAGTCATAATTTAAAAAAAAAATCAGACTTTAATTATTTCATTGATTGATTCTTACCAGATCCTAATCTGAAATTATGGTACAGCTTGCTTAAGGTGAGTAACACTCAGTCAAAGTATACACTTTTGAACTCAAGAGTTTGTAAATATTATTGATGTTCTCAGTTAAATTATATGAAAAACTTTACTTGAGATGTCTATAGGGAATGATAGCTATCTGGTTCATGAATTTTGTTCCAATGAAATGAATTTCAAACCTTTATATCGCTTTGTATTTGCATCATCAATTATTTAATATTAGTGGTATATTCATGCTTGCTATTTTTTCCTGCAAATGTTGATGCTATTGACCAACGACCAGGTGAACTTTTCCCCCAGAAGTTGCCTTTGGATTTACATCTTAAAAAATGAGTTCTTCTAAATTTTTAAACTGTTTTTTAGAGGTAGAGTAGCTGGAATACCTGCTCTAGGGCAACATTCATGCTGAATATAAGCTATTAGTAGTGAAATTTACCCTGTTATAACACGTTGCCTTAGTGTTAATTTTGTTGCCATAGTTACCATGTTCTTTTTGATACATTTAGCATTACCAAACATTTCCCTTTTCGAATTCTGTTGTCAGACCATCTCACTTGACTCATACTGGAGAATACTGCTGTTTTAAGAATTATGCAAGCTTTTCATGAAGACAAAGAAACATTGAAGTAATACATTGATTGAGAATCAGGGGAATATGACATTGGTCTAATAAATTAATGACCGGTTTTCCTTCTTTTGGTTACTTTCAGTTGTGTTAAACTCAATTTCTAATGTGTATCTGGGAATTATGAGACCAGTGATCCAAAAAATCTAGAGAACAACAGGTTAGGAAAAATTGATTTTACAGTACACTAATTAGTAGCAGCACTCTATGGCTTTTCATACAATAATCATTCTCGCTGACATTTTAACCATTTAACATTTTAACTATTTATAAAGCAAATGCTTTACTGTTCAATTTTCAGTCACTACACATTGGCTGCACATCATGTCAACCATAATGTGGAATATTTGGTCTTTTAATTAATTATGTGTGAACTGTATGTATTATTATGTATGGTTGGTTCAATAAAAAAATATAATTAAAACAAAGTATAGTTAGAATGTTTGACATCTGAGTTTGGATTTCCTGAATGCATGCCACTATTGCTGGAACGGAGCTTTTGTAGGATAAGGGGCGATTTTGATTTAGCAATAGCAGTTAGACTTATATACCGCTTCATAGGGCTTTCAGCCCTCTCTAAGCGG